ATACAGCTGAACTGTTGGTGCCAGAACCTAGCTTAGATGAAGGGGAACTAGCCATTGGGAAGTTGAAAAGTTATAAATCTCCAGGAATTGATCAGATTCCGGCCGAATTAATTAAAGCAGGTGGCAAAGGGTTGCATATGAGGATCCATAAGCTTATTCAGTTAATTTGGGATAAGGAAGAGATGCCACATCAATGGAAGGAATCCATAATTATTCCTATTTATAAGAAGGGGGACAAGACTGAGTGTGGTAATTACCGAGGAATATCGCTGCTATCAACCTCATACAAAATTCTATCCAACATTCTTTTGGCAAGATTAACCCCATATGCGAATGAAACTATTGGGGATCATCAGTGTGGGTTCAGACGAAACAGATCAACGATTGATCAGATCTTTTGCATTCGTCAGATACTAGAGAAAAAATGGGAGTTCGGTGGGACTGTACATCAGTTATTTATAGATTTCAAAAAAGCCTATGACTCTGTGAAGAGAGAAGTGCTATATAATATTCTTATTGAATTTGGTATACCAAAGAAGCTAGTGGGTCTAATAAAAATGTGCTTAAATGAAACCTGCAGCAAAATTCGAGTAGGTAAATATGTATCTGAGACATTCCTCATCAAGAACGGTCTAAAACAAGGAGATGCTTTGTCTCCCTTGCTCTTTAACTTTGCGCTAGAATACGCCATCAGGAAGGTCCAAGGTAGGCAGGAGGGTTTGCAATTGAACGGGACACATCAGCTATTGGCATATGCTGATGATGTTAATTTATTGGGGGACGATATAAATACAATAAAGAGGAACGCAGAAGTTTTACTAGAGGCTGGTAGACAAGTGGGGCTGGAAGTAAATTCAGAAAAAACTAAGTACATGTTAGTATCTCGTCATCAGAAGACAGGCGGGCAAAATTATCTTAGGGTAGCTAATAAATCCTTTGAAAGGGTTACAAAGTTCAAATATTTGGGAACAACAATAACAAATCAAAATGATACTTGTGAGGAAGTTAGGAGGAGACTAAATTCCGGAAATGCTTGCTACTTCTCAGTCCAAAATATTTTGTCTTCCCGTCTGATTTCTAAGAACCTGAAAATTAAAGTATACAAAACAATAATCTTGCCTGTTGTTTTGTATGGGTGCGAAACATGGTCTCTCACTCAGAGGGAGGAACACAGATTGCAGGTGTTTGAGAATCGGGTGTTGAGGAGGATATTTGGGCCTAAGAGGGAAGACGATGGGGCGTGGAGAAAACTGCACAATGACGAGCTTAAAAATCTGTACTGCTCCCCCAGTATTGTGAGGGTGATTAAGTCGAGAAGAGTGAGATGGGCGGGACATGTAGCGCGCATGGATGGGACAAGAGGTGTGCACCGGGTACTGGTTGGGAAACCTGAAGGGAAGAGACCGCTGGGGAGACCTAGACGAAGATGGGAGGATAATCTCAGGCGGGATCTATGGGAGATAGGAGTTGAAGGAAACTGGATTTTGTTGGCCCAGGACAGGGTCCGGTGGAGGGCTTTGGTTAATTCGGTGATGAACCTTCGGGTTCGGTAAGCCATCTAGTTAGTTAGTTAAGACGAACTAAGTAAAATATTAATTAAGCTTTACGTGGTTTTGTAAAACTGTATGTCTTGTTTCTTACTCTGCATAAATAAACCGAACATTAAATATATATAAAACAGGGAAGTAAACAAAGTTCCATAAGAATCGTTGTTCTCATACGTCTTCGTCATTACAACGCAGAAAAATATTAAATGATTAATTATATACAAAAATTAATATAATCTACTTTCTCGCCCGCAAGAAAACATCACGTCTCAACTAACACCACGTCATTTGGAGTTTGAAGTAAAAGTATTTAAAGGGGACATTCAAAGACTTGATGGGCGATGTCCGAGAACAAAAGTTATAATTTATATGACATACACGATACAAAGCAATCTAAATCATTTCCACGACTTTATTTATGCTATATAAATTGATCTCGATCTTGTTTTCATAGTAAATAATTATACAAAAATTTATTAATCTTCCCTTAGCAATGCAATGAACAACTTAACTGAGACCTTTCTCCTGGACCCTAGAAATTATTCACTTTCTCTGATACTTTCTCTCGGTTGCTTCAGAATGGGCACATATCTGCAAAACACTGTAATACAACATACATTATAACTTTAAAGGAGTTCGACTAATTACAAGATACACCACGTAATTAATTATTACAGCAACGGAAATGTATACAAACGTGTGCCATGTGTTTATTACGCGATGTTAGGTGAGGTTTCGGAATCTCACGGCGGCGAATATGAAGAAGGCTGTCTTGTGGGATGCCGACGTTTCAGAAGAGCTTACTGCCTCCATCGTCAGGATGATAAACACCAGATAACATGGCGCAATATCAGAGAGGAAACTCACCTTTAAATTCACCGCCGTGAGAACCTTAAGTCTTACCAGATGTAAAGTAAAATTGCCAAATTTATCAATGAAACCGACCTCTAAAAAATTCCCTGAAAAGGAAATTGGCAGGTTATTCCGCAATTTTTAGCACACTGAATATGGTTACCGCTAGTTGTTAAAGGGTTAATGAGTCCTAAATAGTCATGTACAAATTTTTTTGTGGTGAAACATTTTTAGATCATTTATAAAATTCTATTTAAACTTCATGCAAAGTTGGGATTATATTAGATGAACAGATTCCCAAATTGCATTTGTCTGAAAAAAATTAATACAGACCCCTCTCCCATATATTAATATCCATAGAGTATGTCACAATTTAAATGTGGATGATCAGATAGCTGTTTCCTCATAATAACAGTGCAACAGTTCCATAATGAAATGAAAAATATTATCAAGAAAATCCCAGTACCGCAACAATGAGCATACTGACCATAGGGCCCACAGCTAATATAAACAGACCACACAGAACTGTGTTTAGTTTCAGCTGTGAGACATCAATTTCTGTGCCGATGAGCCCAAACAACTTCCATATCAAGTCGTATGTGTCTGCCACAGGATTCTGCCAGGTTAGATTACACAATTACAAAAATGTTACAACACAGTACATTTAGCATGTGGCTCTGTCACCTTACGTTTCCTAAGACAAGAAATATTCTCCCTTCTAAATTCCTTTGCATCCCTGTAAGCAAAATGGGGTTATTGATGTAACATTCGTGTCTTTCTTCTTTCAACCAACTGCCTCATTTCCATGAAACACACAACGAACACATTGCCTTTGCAAGCTACACTTCCAAATTTACCACTTAGAAATATCAGCACAGCAGTCATGCAAAATAGGGAACTGCATAAATGAGGATTTAGCCTGTAGGAAAATAATATAAATTATACTATCATAGTCCATGCAAAGAATTTTGGGAAATATGAATATAAACTTTTATGCAAATGGGAAAACAAAATCAGCAAGATGGAAGTGTTAGTCGAGGGTACGAGAGAAGAATGATAGATGCTCATGGAACTATTAAATGGTGCTCAACTGCACATGAGCACGTGAAATTCAGTACGGCAGTAAGTCATGGCAGAAGGCCTTAATTAACACTTTTGAGTGCTGATACTTATTTGTACGCTACCAGTCCCACAAGCTGCTTTTAAAGTATTTCCTCATTGCTCTGACTTATCAGATTACTTGAAGTGATATTCTCTCTCTCTCATCTGAAAGATATATTTTGTGTTTGGAAAACAAGTTTGTCAGTTTGGCAGACAAACTGTCACATGGAGGCAAAGGTAATGTGCTATTTGTAGTGATGGTAAAAAAGAAAAAGTAAGCCTTCTCACTCAATGATAAGGTAGGGTAAAAATAATTATGCATGCATTAAAACTACAGTAATTGAAAAAACTAAACACAGCAAAAAAATACACAACACAGGATGTTAGTAAAAATGCAGCACTTAAAAAGTTTTTAAGTTTATTATATTTTAGCTGCCAAGACATTCCAGCTTTCTGTTGAAACCTAAGATTTGTCTCTTTTGTGTTCCTTGAAGCAATACTCGTCCTGAGCCAGCTCAGTCCAGTTTACATCATAAAAGAAATTATAAATGCCCTTAACAATGTTGTATGTATAGGCCGTTCGGTGGGACATGAGCTATGGCCTTGGTATGTGCAGCGTATCTGCAGCTCGAACAGTGGGTGGGGTGAACTCAGAGCTCAGTTACAAGGCAGACTCGACCTCCATAAGTACTCTGAAACGCATTCTGAAAGAGTACGAACATAATAAACGAGTGGGAAAAGAATTCAGCACACCTCACAAGAAACGGCCAAGAAGGAAAATTAAAACAGATGTAGATGATTTTGACAAGTGTGTAATTCGAAGAACGATTAACGAATTTCACACTACACAAGGCGAGCGTCCTACTTTAAAATCGTTGTTGGCAGTAATTAAGAAAAAGATTAACTTCAGTGGCGAGAAGTGGGCTCTTTGGAAAATAATTAGAAATTTAGGCTTCAGGTGGAGGAAATCGGAAAGTAATAGGAAAGTTCTCATCGAAAAGGATGATATTCGTACAGCAAGACTGTCTTATTTGAGAAATATAAGTCGTTACAGAAATGAGACGACAATGATACCAACAGTTGTAGCAGTAGTGAAGAAGAGGAGAGGGAGGAAGAAGATGCAGAAGAAGATAATGGGGAATTAAGTGGAATTGAAGCTTTGTAAAACGTTCGTCAGCCGCTGTAAGTAATTCAATCTGCACTGATGTTTTTGTGTTCAGTAGTACAGAGAAAGGTGTTCTCCTCCGTGCCCTACTACCGCTAGCAGACAGCGTCAGTACCCTCCCTCACGTGCATTTCACAGCCCATGTCTCAGCGAACGACTAATACATAATTATTTTTACAGTTTCGACCAATTTTATTACACTTTTTCTTTGATATGAAGTAACAAATAGAAGAAAATATGGGCATGTATGAGTACAGAGATTGCGTATTAGAAACTGTTAATAGGATTCTGCAGTTGGCTAAATGCAAAATGTCAAGGTCAGCATGAGAACTCACAAAATTGCTGCTCCAGCCTAGCATCTTCCAGCCAGAGCAGGCTACAATGTAAGCAAGAGGACCTGCCCCAGAGTATCCCTCTAGACTACTGCCCAGGACAGCAAATAGTCCACATCCCTCCTATTAGGAAGGCTCCTTCACTAACCACCCTCACCTGTAACACAGACCATTATTACTGTGAATATAATGGAAAGAATAACTTATGTTGCATAGAAATAAGCACAGAGATTTGTATTTTCATAACAATAAACAAATGTATTTGCCCTTTCAGATATGTAACATATGGCATTCTTTAAAACATATGCAGAAATATTCCTTTATAGTGATAAGCAAGCAGTTCTTTTCATAAAACAAAACACAGAAATTAACCTAAAATGGCTGAAATAAGGATAAACTTTATGATGTTTCAAAGCATCAGTTATGGTAAAAAAAAGCTTAAGAAATGTATGTATTGCTTACCTCCAGCCTTTGTCACATCTGTATGCTGGCATCTTCTTTCTATAAAGAAATGCACTGTTGATATCTAACC